TTCAGAGTTTGTCTCACAATGGCAGGAACCGGACAGTGTCTGATCTCTCCATGATCTACTTAACTGTTCCAGCTCGCATAGGTATAGAATCAAATGACTATGTTTGTGTTTTTACACAGCTAGTTGTGTAACTTGTAATATGTCCTCCATCCAGGGCCATTGATATTTCCAGTGTGCATAACTGATAAAGATGATGAACTGGTTAATGGAGACTCCTCATCTTGTGTGACAACTGGTTGGGGGCCAAGAAAAGCTACATGTAAGTCAGCACACTGTAAAGAAATGATATGATTGGTCCTGGCAGCATATGTTTTAGGCCATTGTAACTTATTAAACTTAGTTAATCATGTTCTAACTAAAGTTTATAAGTTATGCAAGCTATTGTAAGTCAGTTTAACATGATATAAGTTCAATGGACTCATGAGGTTAATTTGAGCTTTAAATTTAAGGCAACCTGGATTTTTTTGTTTTACTGTGCAGTAAATCAACCTGACATAACATTCACATTACATTATAGACTAGAATTGCTGATCAAGGTAGTCTGGAGTAATTTTATTTTAATTCATTTTTATATTATTGTATTTTTCATCCTCTTTTTAACAAACCATTTGTTGTATGTAGGCTAAAAAAGGTCCAATCAAATCCATCCTCCAAAGAGCTTGTCCTGTATGTGCATATGCTTTAAGATGGACTATTTTAAAATATAGATAAAATTTAAATAAATTTTTTATCTGATACAATATACAATCTCATAAGTGACAGTAAAAAAATAAATAAATATTTGTTTTAAATAAAAGCCCTGTTTTAAATTTCTATTCATCAAATGAGCCTAAAAACAAAGATTAAATGATTTAGTTTTCAACAGTTAAAAATAATCAGCATAAATGTTGCTGCAGCCATTTTAGCTTTTCCATGACTGGAATATATTAGGCTTAATCCAAAATTGTATAAATGAAGAAAACTAATTAGTTAAAATTTTAGTAATATCTCTGAATATCATGATCATCTTTATGAAAACATTTGGAAAAAATACAAATATAAATTAAAAATAAGCATAAATGTTGTTTGTCACTCATGTAATGTATTTTTTAGTAATTAACAAAAACTAGAACACTTTTAAAGCGTAAATGAGGTGAATCTTGAGTTGTTGACTTCGCAAATATAATTAATGGTAACATCACAAAGCATGTTCTGTTGCAACTTTGCACTTGCTATTCTTAAAGGGGTGGTCCAGAGTGTGTTCTTAAGGCTTGATTGTGTTTATGGGGTGCAAATCAATGTGTGCTCATGCTTCATTTGTAAAAAAATCACATTATTTTTTCATATATCCTACTTTGAATTCATACAGCTACTCAGCTAACATACTGTCATATTTCCCCTGAAGACCTGCCCTCAAGAGGCTCTGATTGGACAGTTGACATAATGTGCTGTGATTCGCAGATCAGATCCACATCACCAAAAAGCATCTCTGTTATAACATTACAGCGCCTCTGGCCACACCCCTTCCTTGGGGTGCAGGGTTTATTTGTGTGACCTAAAGGGTTTGACATCATTAACCTGGATGTATATTTTTGTAGTTCCCAAACTTTGTTTGCTGTAGGCTTTGCTAAGCTAACTTTGTAAAAGCCAATGTCTCCCTTTGCATTGAACTTTGAACGTCTTACATTCAGAGATGTTTGTTCACACCGCTACATTACACATCAACTAAAGTTTAAAATATGGTAGTGGTCCACCCATTTAAGGGCACTTTAATGAATGTTTTTTAAAGATTTATAATTTTTTTATCAAGTATATAATAAATTTAAATAATCTCTAATGTAAAATGTTCTTAAATTCTTCTATTATTTTTCTATAATCTCTTATTGAATTGGGAATGTAATGTTTTCATCTAAATTAATCCTGCCATGATCATTTGCTGATGATGAACAAACAGCTCCTCCTTTTAAGAGCACACTTAAATACCAGTCGAAGTTATGTTTTCCTTTCTTATTAGTGGATTTGCAGCCTGAGATTCTACATATGGCTAGAGTTAAGCCTCTTTCTGAAGACACCTGCAGGACTGGCTGGGGTGACGGTTTCAACAGGCAGTCCCACCTGTGTACGCATGCAGCAGCCTCAACCTCCTGCTTGGTACAGTAGTTTCAACACCTCTGGATTCCACATGTACTGTTCACATTTCACCTAAGTATTATACTATAAGTATTATCACCTTATATTTTGCTGCAGGGGGACTCGGGTGCACCCCTTGTGTGTGCAAAAAACGGGATTTACCACCTTGTAGGATTAACAACATGGGGCAGCAAGAAATGCCAACCTCAGAAGCCAGCTGTGTTCACTCGAGTATCTGCCTATCACTCATGGATACAAAATTATATTAAAACTGCTTAATGTGTTCAATAAAGGTCATTTAAATTTAGTGTATTTGGTTCAGTGAGTAGGTTTCTGTAACGCATGGCGGCATCTACCAGTGGTATACCACCATAGACTCTGTGAGGAGTAGCATGTCTTCATTTACTTGTATAATAAACATACTAATAATATCCTGTGAGGCCATGGGAGAGGATTTGAGTGTCAGTGCAGTATCCGCAGGGCCTTAAAGTTTTAAATTCACAAAAAAATGTTGTTAAATAATTGTAAGTCTTAATTTCCGTATGTCCAGTTATCCAATCGGGCAAACATGCATCCAATCACCAACGATCATCACAATAAAACTTTTAACAAAACTCAATACGATAACTATGTATTGCCAATATGGATTAGTTGTTATTGTCCTTTCAATATTATTTGTTTAAACGTTCTTTGTGTATTTATAGTTCATATGTGATGTGGACAGTGACCTTGACAGATTGGTGTGCATACATTCAGTTTTATAATAATTAAAGATTTAATCTTTCATTTTTTTGTATGCATCCAGCTAGGGGTTGCTTATTTTGATGTTTAAATAAAATATGTGGCTAAAAAAAACTAGTTATAATATAATATCCTGTGTAAGTCTGAAATTTCATACACAATGGTCTTAAAATTGACTTTGTGAAACCTGCAGAAACTTTGGTGTAGTGATGCTCATTTTTGTCCCTCCACGATTTCGCAAGTCCAGTTTTACAAGGTTTGTGTTTTTCAGCAATAGTCATATACATGAATAGCCATATAGTAAGTTGACATATCACAAAAGCAGTAATTTTAGCTCACAAATATTTTTTAAATACTTTTCAATTTAATTTAGCAACCTATTAAGCAATAAATTATGTAACTTGCATATTGAAACTGAGTGAGAATGGCAAATGCAAGTTACAGAATTTCCTTTTCGTTTTGCACGAATCTTTGCACTTATGTCTTCAACAATGTAAATGTAAAAAACATTTCCATTTTACTTATTTTGCCTATTGCTTTGCCATTATTATATTTCAAAATGTATTTAACAATGTTATAAAAAATGTAATCCTACAAGTGTAAGGCTAGTCGATGCATTAAGGACTAATAACGTTTAATTTATATTAACGTTATTTATATTTATATTAATTAGTTTAATTTATATTAATAATTTTGCTAACATTTCTGCTTGTACATCAAATTTATTTTGTGTATTATATTTTGTTTAAATTCACAAAAATGCTGTTAAATAGTTGTAAGCAGGTCTTATTTTTTCTAAGTCCATGTAAAGCGGTCCAATCAGGCCAACATGCATCCAATCACCAACAATGCATCACAATAAAACTTCAAACCTCAATACGATAACTCTATTGCCAATATGGTTTAGTTATTGTCTTTACAGTAATATTTGTTTAAAGTTCTCAATGTGTTTATAGTCCATATATGTAATTCACATGTTATAGATGTGGTTGGAAATGGCAAATGTAAATGTTATAGACTCATTTGTGTGCCAATGTTTGCATGTCATGAAGTTTGTGAATTGAAACATACACATATATAAATGGAATACATAGCCGTTTTTCATATTGCATTGACGTTTTGCATATTACATATCAAATTTGTTAGGCTTATTTCTACTCGTATGCGTCCATGCTTGTTCGGTTACTAAACAAGCTACTTAAGAGTAAGCATTTCAGAAGCAGCCTGGATTGAATTTTCAATATGAACCTTCAGATTTGATCAAAAGCTTGACCAAACATAGTAGGTTTGATTACAACTAAAATATTGTAGTTTAAACTGTTGCATTGTTCCGCTTTCGAGATTATGTTGTAACGTACATCCATGTGCCACAAATTCAAATGAACAAATCTTTTTTTAATCGAGTCTTTGAATCGATTGAACGGCTTCATACAAATGATTCATTTTCAAACTGGACCAAATCTCTAACAAAGTCACCAGATTTATTTATTTCTTTATTTTTTTATCAATTTAAGTTCGTATTAAAGGTTTTCTTTTCGAAACTGAATACGGCTTAATAAAAGTAGGCTATTTACAAAAATGTCAATGCATCTCAAAACGTTCAAGTTCATATCTTTTATATCAGCAAACATGCAGGTAAATGCAATTCTGAGGGGAACCTCGTAGTTTTAACAGATTTTTAATTTATTTGTTATTGCAAAACGTAAACTCGTGTATAATTTAATATTTATTTATTTATTTAATAATTGCATATCTGACACTTCTCAGTCAGGAGAGCTACTCAGAACTGCGTGGGGGAAAAGACATCTAGTTTGTATTCAGTAAACATTAACACGCTTTCATACATGGTAGAATTGTTTACATGAATAGATTTTGTAAATTATATAAAAATGTGTACATACAAATTTGATAAAACATTTCTATTAAAATATGCAGCTTTATCCGTGTACATAAAAACTATGTTGTGATATTAAATGGCCTGACGCTCTGTATATTTTAAAATGTAAAATAGCATTTTTTTTTCGCTGGAATGTCAAGAATCACGTGATTACGTCACTGTGTAAAAGAACCGAACAGCTTGTTCAAATGAACCGATTTGCGGAAGTGAGTCGAGCTTCCATCACTAATTCAAACTCCACCCCTCCGATTCCACTTCATTTTTCCAATGAGCATTAGCGCTCGAATCAGCCGAAACAAAGTGACACCTCATCCCTCCAGCAAGCCTCAAACATGGGGGAAATCAAAACGCCCAGAAAATGGTTCCTGAGCAGCATCGCGCTCATTTACGCGTGTGCTTTCGCATCCGTCTACGTCCAGATACCAGGTAGGGAAGTTTCTCTGTCTCGGAAGGTGGATGTTTGGCGGCTGTGCTGGATTTTTGGGCGCGGCGCTAATGAATGGTTGCGTTTACACTTGATCTTGAACTGTATGGAGGAATGTGAGCGAAAACAAATCAGAATTCAACTGATTCATTCATTAGTTGACGCGAATCGCCTTTGCTCCTGCGCAAAAAACGTGCCATTTTAAGAGCAGATTCGGTTCAAACTTTTAAAGAAGCTCGTGCACAAACCGCATCTCTGCAGAAATCCGCTGCGCACTGAATTTTAATATTTCACGTAGAGTTTCTGAAGTTAAAGCTTACTAAATGATTGCATCTCTGTATGAATAAAACAGCAGCGAGTTCCTCCACATGTGCTGATGTTTGGGAGCCCCGCCAGTTAGTGCTGACTGCGCACTGAGTGACCATGAGCATTCAGGGGCCTGTAGAGCTTTTGTCACTAAAATGCCATATGTTTGGAGCATTACTTTAGCCTCTCTTTTTTTAACTATTGACCCCACAGAATGGCCCTTTTAATGTGCCAATAAGCTCATGCAACATCAAAGTTAGAGAACCTCCTCATATATATATATATTTATTTATTTTTTTAAATTGGCTTTCATCTCTAACCATTGTGACTCATACTCTTGCTATGCATTTCCAAGTGCTGGATTATGGACTGTCAGCTAGTGAGTTATTGTTTGTATTGTGTTAGGAAATGTTTCTTAGTACTCTCAGATTTTGGTTTGGCCACAAACACCGATGTTTAACATTTGTCCAAAATGAAATGTTCATTAAAGATGCATTGTGCCAATTGGGGTAAAGTTTGGTTTTATAGTCGCTCATTAAAACTTTCTCCTTGATCATATAATTTTAGAAAAGTGTTATTTGCACATTCTAAATTAGGAAATCATATTAGCAGGAAAGACTATCAAAGTACATTGATCACAGTCAAATGAATAGTGCTAATGTTTTGAAGTCACACTTGCATGTGATTTCAGACCCAATATTCAAAGTACCATGGTAAACAATATAAAGAACATGTCCCTAAACGAATGCTCAAATATAAAACCAACTTTACCCCTATCTGGGTTATGTTCTCTCAGCTAGTGAGTTATTGTATGTTTTGCTTCTGTTAATATTTCTTAGTACTCTCAGATTTTGGTTTGGCCACAAACACAAATGTTTAACGTTTGTCCAGAATTAAATGTGCATTAAAGATGCATTGTGGCTATTGGGGTAAAGTTTGGTTTTATATTTGTGTGTTAGGACTTTCTCCTTGATCATATCATTTCAGAAAAGTATTTTTGCACATTCTAAATAGGGAAATCCTATTAGCAGCAAATGACTAGGTCAATGAAATGCTGCTAATGTTGTTTTGAAGTCTTTCTTACATGCCAAAAGTTGCCTATTTGTATCCTTTTGATTTGGCCTGCCAGAGGGAAAATGATTGGGAAGGGTTGGGAAATGCCTTCAACAAAGGTTGTCATTTCTGTTTCAATGTAACCTTTTGTTTGTTAGCTTTATTGCTGAGCTACAAAAAAGCAAACGGTAAAATGTACCTGCTGTGTATTCAGCATTGAACTCCATTGTTTTATAAATGGAGTTTTGCTTTTGGTTTTACTGTAATAAGTTCATTAAAATAATATACATTTTTTTAATAGAATGCATTGGTAAATACTGTTAAAGTATTTTTTGTCAATTAGTTTTTTTTTAAATATTATGATAATATTATTTTTTAAATGATAAATAAATCAGGAAATTGCCCGTGGCAACTTTAACGTAGTAGAGTTTGCTTAATTTACTTTTGGCTCACAGCTCTCAATCAAGCTTGGACTTTGACCCTTTATAATACACTTTGGGCACCCCTGCACTAAACGAATGTGTCAATATAAAACCAACTTTAAAGTGCCACAGTAGTCACTCTGTCATCTAATAACTTTGTTTAAAACATATTTTTGCAAGTAGGGCTGTGCAATTAATCTAAATGTTGCAATTAGCTAATCGCAAGAGGCTGCGATATGAAAAAAAAAAATATATATATATATATATTTTTTTTTTTTTTTTTCCCCCACCCTGAGCAAATGCATGACTGTTGTCCGTGTGACAGTCTTACTAGCCAACTGAGTGAGCACACTTTTGTTCTGGCCAATCGGAATAGTGCAACAGAACTATGCAGAACACCCACAAATAAAAAAAACAGCCGAAAAGTGCAGGCGAGGGGGATAATTGCATCCACTGCTTCAGAAGAATTAATAGACAAATAATATATATATTTTAAAAACAGCACGTCGGTAATATGGGATTATTTTAGCTTCAAAGTCACATACACCAAACAAAAACAGGTCATTTATTAGAGCTTTCACAGAATTGTGAAATTCATTGCCAGCATGAGGAAATACAACAGCCAGCACCTTAAAAACCACCACATGAGGAGTGTGATTGAGCTGAAGCTTAACCAATCATTTTATTTAAAAAAGAAATAAATACCGCAATTAGATATTTTCCCCACATTGCACAGCCCTATTTGCAGGTAACATTTGAGCTTTTGTTTGTTTGTTTTTGTGGACAAAACAAACATTGACTTTTGTTTTCTAAGTAAAATAAAAAGACGTACAGCAATATTTATAAACTATTGTACTGCGCCATTCTGTTTTGTGTTTTGAACATTATACATGTCTTTGTTTATTATTGACCCTCCAATAACTAAATATTTTTATGTAAATACATTTTAATGTTATGCTTTTATTTATTTGGTTCTTTCCATTTGAAAATGTATAAATGTAAACAATGTTTTGATGTTTTGCTTTATTTGTACTTTGTAAAAAACGCTGGGTTCCTCACATTTCCTTCATATTGTCCCAACACAAGTCAATGAAGTTCATTTGATTGATTTAAAAAAAATACATAGATTGAACTTTAAACAATTAAGTTGCCCCCCCCAAAAAAAAAAAAAACTTCTAGAATTGTGTTGATTCGGCTTATTTTAAATAAGCCGCAGCAAAATGTAATTAAAAAAATCCCTTATTATGGTGGGCATATCCCTTATTTTCACATCTCTATGTTGACTGGTATGAAATGGCATGGTTTCACGGTATTGTGATTACTGCCCTAAAACAAAAAACAAAACAAAACCTTTTCCCTTTTGAACACAATATATTTTATTTTGAGAAACATTTAAAATATTTTGAAGCAGTAAACCGGTCATGCTACACGTCTGCGGTCTTCATTTGTTAAAACCTTTTCTGCTGGAGATATTGTTGTTCTAAAAACAAAACAAAAAAAAAATGTAAATAAAAAAAATCTTACACATACTTTAGGAACGGTATTGCAGAAAATTTTGACGGATTAAAATCTTGACTTTTCCAAACCACGGTATACCTTGAAAATGGCCATTTTCCCATGCCTAGTCGAGGGACCCCAAAAATGTTTTAGATTGTTTATTAGATTTTATGGAGATGCACTCCCACTGCTGAATCCTCCCAATTGATCTAACATTATACATTCTTTCCAAATAGAGAAATTAAGTCATCTGGTGAAATTGTATTTATATCGCAAAATAAAAATATATTGGAATGTTTGTTATTTCCAATATCGCGCAGCCCTAACTCACATACTGTCTAGCTCTTCAAAGAACGAGGATATGATTTAGTCTGAATCACAAAGAGCTGAATGCTGCTGAATCCACTCACTGTGTGTTGCCAACAGGAAAGGGAAGTAAATAATGAGTAAATAATAGCTCTCTTCCCGTTTGATGAGCTGGGCTGGTTTGTTTGTTGCTCAACTGTGTAAAAAGCACGTTCAAGGTGTTGACTCCTTAGTTCTTTCCTACCCCAACTTCATGTCTTTGCTTGATTACACATGGAAATTAGTCCTCTAAGGTGGTGTGTTGTGGAGACGTTTGTAGCAGAACCGGGTCTTTCTCCAAACTGAACAACAGAGAGCAACCGTGAGTCATTTGTTGGCACCGGCACAATACACGGCCTGTTCTCTAACGCAAGCCAGCCTGCTTTACTCTCACTCTGGCTGTGGCCTGCATGCCAAAAAATGTGGATGTGCAACACTTGCAACCTTTGCCAGCCGCAGTCCTTGGGTCGCATTAAAGTGAATTTGTCAGCGAGAACGTTTACATGCACATAGTAAGCTGATAACTCATGCATCATTTTACTGAGAGTGCAGATTAGACACGATAACTGGTTTCAAGGTTTGCAGTTTGGAAAGGTCAAGGTTTTAAAACCTACTCATTTCTTTTTGTTACACCTTTCCTATGATATATGCAGGGTGGTTTGAGGGGGTTATGACCCTCCTAATTAACTTTTGACCCTTGGAAGGACGTGAAAAAAAAGATATATAGGGTGGTCAGCCCATTAATACTGAGAAATAGTTCACTCTTATTTGTATTTTAATAATAATGCTAATAATTAAAATAATAGATAGTGCAAATATACATTTGACCACCCCTATACCATTGTGGATATATAATCACGCCAGAAAAAAATCATTCAACAGTCTGAAACTGGCAAAACTACAGTATAGCACAGATGGACAGCGTAAGCTTTAACAAGACTGTTATCTCCTAGAATAAGTGTTTGTATTTACATATAGCCTGAAAGCAAAGTCAAATTAGATGCACAGTTTGTTTAGTTTGACCTACAGATACCTCTGGAATGGCTAATCAGAGGATCGCTGTTGGTCAGAATACACTAAATAACCTTCAAAACTCTGTGTTATTAATAAATTGGATCATTTAAATGAATATATTAATGACTGAAGTATAAATTACACAAACTAACATTACAGTGAGCCCCTGGTATATTATAAAAAGTGGACTTTTTAAAGACAAAAGACTTGGATATTATATTTCTGCTGGATGTTTTTTTTAATTCTTCACTTTCGCCAATTGGTGACGTTTTTTCCTCGTCGCTGTCGCCACTGGCTTGCACGGTTCGGGATCTGTAGAGCTGAGCATCGATAGATTTGCTCTTCAGTGTTTGGACTCTCAGTAGGGATTATTAACCACACTGAACTGAGCTAAACTGAACTTAAACACTGAAAACTTTACTACGCTGTTTCAATTTACTATAATCTTCATTATGAAGCTGCTTTCACACATTTTACCTTGTAAAAGCGCTGTAAAAATAAAGGTGAATTGTATTGAAAATATGGGATTCATTGGAAATGAACGTGCAGATAAAGCAGCTAAGAAAGCCCTTACAGTTGAAGATAAGAGAATGTAAAATTCCTGTGTCTGATTTCAAACCGGTTTTAAATCTGTATATTAATGAGGAATAATGAACGGAATGAATATAGGAGTAACGAATTGTTTTTTTATAGTAAGGCTGTGCGATTCATCGAAATTGAATCGCAATCACTTTTTGAAACGTTGCAATTAGCTAATCGCAAGAGGCTGCGATATGAAATGTATATGTATTATTTAATTTTCCCCACCCAGAGCAAATTCGTGACTGCCGTCTGTGTGTGACAGTCTTGATAACTAATTAATAATATAATAATCAACACCTTAGTGTACCATTTTTTTTCCTAATGTGGACTTATTTATAATTCTTTGGGTGCAAAGCACAGAAAACATGTTCATACATTTTGTACCATCTATTTTACCTAGCATCTGTGACAGTCAGTTCATGCTTAAGCTATGTTTGACCTCAGTCGGATGAAGGAAAACCGGTGAGCACATTTACATGACCACATGCATTATTGGCTGCATAATCGGGTTAAGAGTGCATGTAAACGCACTCCGCAATGGTTCTATATTGTCTTTTTCCTGCTCTCTCTCTATCTATGATGTATGACAAGTCTGTTGTTCTGTACTGTTCGCTATTAGCCTGAAGCAGAATTGTACGGCCGTTTTGCATAAAGCTGAGAATGTCTCTACTCGTTTGGAGGCGTTAAAGTCACAGGACGGGTTTGTGTTTTGCTGATTGTCATGGCAGTGCGTGCCTGTGTTGTTTTGTTGAATGAATGTTTACATGCGGCTTGAAGCTTTTGTGGTTTTTACAAGCATTGAGAAAACACAGCGCATTATTAGCTGCAGACCTTGAGGGACCTGTCTGTCACCATCGACAGCATGGTACTGTGTTTTCAATCAGCACATTTGCACAATAAATATGATCTGTTTTTCTTTTCTTTCTATTTTTACAAGTTGATGTGTGTAGTAGCGCTTGCAACTCATTTTACTTTCAAAAGGAAACATGGAAATAGATCGTAATTTATTTATTTTTTCCTTTCTTCCCTCTCAGTCTCTGTGGGGAATAGGGATATAAAAAATAAAGCATCAAATAAAATATTTATTAATTTGATAAAATAAAGTAATGCTTTATATTAAATAGTTATAATAATAATAATAATAATAATAATAATAATAATAATAACAAAACAATAAACACTATTATTATTATTATTATTATTATTTATAACTGCATAACAAATAGTGATTTTTTTTTTAGTTTGTAATAAATTATTATTATTATTATTATTAGTGAGTTGTTATGTAATAATTGTTTATCTTTTAAAACATTTAGATTTTGTTTGGAAGTATTTTAACAGATAAAAATAATAATAATGATAAAAACAATAAATAATAATAATAATAATAATTATTATTATGTAGAACTGGAATAAAATGTTTGCATAACAATTATTGATATATTTTGTGTTGTTGATGTTGTTGTTATTTACTAATTGTATTATGTAATGTGTTTATTATTAAATTATCTTAATATATAAAAATTTACCTTGTTAGTAATTTGGAAGTAAATTAATAAATAATAATAATAACTAAAACAATAAACGTTGTTGTTATTTGTAACTGTCATAAAATGTTAGCATAAAATATTGATATTTTGTTGTTGATGATCATCATCATTATTATTATTATTATTATTATTATTATTAATAATATTATTATTAATGTTATTATTTATGTAATGTTTAATATTAAAATCTTTTAAAACTTAGAATTTTCTTTGGAAGTAAATTAATAAATAATAATGTTTATTGCTTTTGTTAATAATAATAAAAATAATGATTATTGTTGTTGTTGTTGTTATTATTATTATTTTCTTTTTATTAACTAAATAAACGTAAAAAATAAACATTATTATTATTAATATTATTAACAAACAATAAATATAATAATAATTATTATTAATATTATTTACGACTGTAAATGTTTACATAACAAATATTGATATTTTGTGTTTATGATCCAATATTATTATTATTATTAATATTAATATTATTTGTGTAATAATAGTTTAACATATCATTTAGAATTTTCTTTGGAAGTAATTTGGAAGTTAATAAATAATAATAATAATAATAATAATTAAAACACTAAGCATTATTACATAAATAATAATAAAATGAATAATAATATGAATAATAACAATATCAACACAAAATATCAATATTTGTTATGTTTGCATAACAAATATTGATATTTTATGTTGATATTATTATTATTAATATTATTATTCATTTTATTATTATTTATGTAATGTTTAGTATTAAAATCTTTTAAAACTTAACTTAGAATTTTCTTTGGAAGTAAATTTATAACAATAATAATGATGATAATAAGTAAAACAATTAACATTATTATAATTATTATTGTTTTTATTATTATTATTAATATGTGGAACTGTAATAAATTGTTTGCATAACAAATATTGGTATATTTTGTGTTTATTATTATTATTATTATTATTATTATTATCATTATTATTTAGTAATTATTATGTAATAAGTGTTTATTATTAAAATATCTTAACTTTCAGGGTTTTCCTTGTTAATAATTTAGAAGGAAATTGGTAAATATTATTATTATTATTATTATTATTATGTAATTTTTTTATTTTACTTTGTTTTTTCCCCTTTTTTTAGTTAAAAAATATTTTCTGTAAATAAAGGTACAGATCTACATATCATCCCAGTCTGATTGCCTAGATGACTAGTTAATCGATCAAACATCTCAGAAGTCATTACTAGCATAAACCCGTCAACATTAGTTTGTACTACATGTTTCTAAAAGTACTTGCAGAATAATATTGAATAATGAGCATTGTCTAATCAGATTTTGTGTCTCTGTACAGGTTTGTATGGAGATGAGGGTATTCTTCCAGTGCGTCTGCAGATGCCGAAGATGCAGCGACCCCTGTTGGAGCAGCTCCAGGCCTCCCCATCGCTGCTGTGGCTGGGGCCGTCTCTGGGTCTGGAGCCCCAGCAGGTCCTGGAGCTCATCTGCCTGTTGGGAGTGCTGCTCAGCCTGGGCGCTGTGCTACTGGGGACCCTGAGGGACAGTCTCACCTACCTCTGCCTGTGGGCCCTCTACCTCTCACTCTATAACGTGAGCATAATCACCTCCTTTTCCCTCCTGTCAGAGAGATGCAAAAGCAGAACAAAATTAGCAGTTTGTTTGGAGTGTCAAAATTCATTGTGGACTATTCAGTATCGGTTCGGTAATAGATTATAACCGGTTATTAGGTACTAAAGTCATTTATCTCTTGTGCCATGTCGTGGTAGTTTACTATGGCAAGGGAGGCAAGCTCAATTAAATAATAATGCTAATTAACTTCTGAGTTTGCTGGGACTGTCTTTCACTGACACTCAAACTACAACCCAACCCCTAGCAATGAAATAGTGGCTCATAGAGTAAATGAGAGCTATAGAATTCATCTCTGCTTCTCTCTCTCTTTTTCACTGCGGATTTTTGAACTGTTAAGGCGATATACACTCTCATGGATCTACTGTGATAGCCGCAGCCATACTTCAGTGTCTGCGTCACTGCTCTGTGAACAGCGATGAACGTTACAGCCAATCGCAACTTTTTCTGTTGAGTGCCTAAACACAATGATTAATCACACCTTGTTTGGGCAGAGTGATATGATCAAGCTCGTCATGAATGAAGCATATACACAAACATATCATTATTTATTTATTTATTTATTGACCACATGTAAATTCACATGTGTTCTTCATATTTCTCACTTTATTTAAAGCTTCGGGGCAAATGTTTGATTAAAACGGTAGACGTTTAAATATTAATAAAATATAAAACACCTTTCAAAAACTAATGCTTATTACAAGTCCAATATAGTAACAAATATTGCTTAATGCAATAATGCAAAATATTATACTTTCAAGGTTGCAAATTTCTCACTATGCTGTTGTTCGTGTTTCTGTCTGCATCCCTGTAATGACATGTAATGTTGTGCTTATATATAAATTATGAAAAAGTGTTACCTGAAATAATCTATTTTGTGACACCACAGAATAGTAGAGAGCATAATATGCAAACCCTTTGGTTTATACAATATATATTGTCATATTGCGCACACACAGCCCTATTCACAACCTCAGTTTTAAAGTCATGGTTTGAGATAGCCGGGGTAATCGACTAAAATATTGATCCTCAACCTTTTTATAACTGTAGACCGCACCACTAGGGGCAGTGCGGTGGTTCGTAGGTTGCTAAGCGACCATCAACGTTTTCTCAGAGAATAACAAGCTGACAAAACGTTGCTGTCGCTCTGATACAAGCTTTATTTGTGGAGAAAATTACAAAGCACTGCAGTGTTTGGGTGCTCTGTGTTTGTCTGAGATCATGTCAAATGTGTATATTCCCTACAAGCTGAAGCTGATCTGTCAGCTCTTGTTATGTGACTCGCGGTGCACTCGCAGGATTCATTCAACTGGGTGCGCACAAGCCGCACACCTCCATTGGAAATGACGAACTTGAGCAAACTCTAGAAAAAATGCAATGTGCAAGCAGCCGTCATTTGCTATCTCCAGCAGTTGGTCTTCTTGCACAGGCATGGTGGATGCTCCTGATTTGTTGACATGGGTTGCAGATCCATTCCTTGGCAGTTTGTGGGTCATTCACCGGGCCTTTTGCCCTACGCAAAGAAACTTTCCAAAGACGTCTGTTTCTTACTCATTTTGCTGCTTGTGGGTGAAATTTGGGCGCTCAAGTGACCGAGATGTAAGCGAGAGAATACGCTCAATTTTCAAAATAAAAGTTTGTTCAGACCCGGATAATAAATAATAATAATAATAAATAATAAATAAACTTTAATAATTAATTATATGATTTTTTTTTTTTTTTTTTTTGTGCAGCCCGGTACCAATTGATCCGCGGACTGGTACCGGTGATTGAGGACCACTGGACTAAAAAAATCAGTTTTGCATTCATTTTTTTTTTTTTATTAACGACTTAAACTCCGCGGACCCGGTACCAGGTCTGTGACATCATCTACATTAGCTTTCAGATTTAAAGGGCTAGCGTTACACCAGACCCCTGTAAGTGGTGTCGTTTGAAAGTTTAGAATCTATATTTTATGCACATATGCATCACTTTGGTTTTTATTCTACTGTATAAGTTATTTACACTTAAATACACAGTATTTTGGATACCCGAGCTAGGTATTTTACATTGGTTCATTTTCATATTTTTTTATGACACATGTACAAGTTATAGCTCAAATGAAAGCTCTTGCCGGTGCTCATGCAGTTCTAGCATTCTTTTTACTGAATTATATTCATATGCCAAACAGTTGTTGAATGAATTGTGGTGTTTCCATGGCGCAGAAATGTAAACAATACATTCATGATCAATAAGCAGCCCCAGATAGCACAGACAGCTGTCATCTCTTTAAAATTATACCAAATTTTTGCATTTACACCTCTTTATGTAGATTTGGGAAGCTTTTAAATTTGGGTAGGCAAAATTCAGGCGGAAATCCCCAAATAGCTGAAGAGTTTAAGTGGTTAAAATATTTTAAATAAAATAACTCTCTAAGTTTTGCACATTCATTGGATGAAATAACAATATTTGTTTGTGTGCATGAGTACTGAACTGTTGGACATACCATATACAATTATTATTTTTTTGTGCTCCTATTATGCATTTAAAAATGTTGTCCACCATGTCAGGTTCTTCTAAGGCTTTTGGCCTCTGTGTGAACATAACTGATTGTTTGTGTCGTCTTTTTATAGGTCGGGGGAGACTTTCTCCACTCTGAATGGTGAGTTCCACTGTTTACAAATGCATCTTGCGGTTTAGTGTAACTGATAAAGGCGTAACTTTATAGTTCTCTGTTGTTGGAAGTCAGTTGGAGTTTCTGAGGTGTAAAGTCTTAAGTGAATTTTATATGAAAAGGAAAGCTGATGTCAAACTGTACTGCAATTATTGCTTCTCCATTAAATTTATAGTGATTAGTCCACAAAATTGCTAATCAGTTTGTGGACTGAAATTTAACTTCTCTAACAGAACTGACGATTAAATGGGCTAAAAAAGCAGAGTTTACTATTAAAGATGCCTTGCCACATCCAAACACAGGAATTAAAAAGAAGGCATGTAAACAACAGCATGAAGCAAATGAACCTTTTAGTAACTGCAAGATAACTTCAAGTGCTAAAGGTAGCCCACAACTGCTTGGCAATGACCTGACAACCACAAATCATTTAGTAAATTGACAAATAAAGTTTTAACAACTCTGACAACCACTCAACTTAGCAGCTGCTAGTTACTAATCAACACTAACAACAATAAAAAAAGCTAGCAACTGTCAAAAATGCAGACTTGTGGAATGTAGTTGTTTGTGATGTGTTGTGGTCTGACAGGGATGTGCTGCTGCTGGAGGCTGGTTTTCTGGCTGTGCTTGTAGCTCCGCTGGGTTTGCTGCGCAGCCACTCCCGTCACGCTTTCCACGATTCGTTGACCTTCTGGATGATTCGCTGGCTCTTCTTCCGGCTCACCTTCTCCACAGGTGTGAGCAAACTGGCCACTGGAGACCCTGCGTGGTACGACCTGTCAGGTATATTAAACCATTTTAAAGTTTTATTCATCTCATTCCGCCTACTCTTATTCACATGACTGGCAACTCGCTTCCACAAATTATTTATTCTAAATTCTCATCAGTATAAGGGTTTGCTTATCTAGTACCTCTTAGTGAATGTTTTGCAGTAAATGGTAAAGAATTAGTTCACTTTCAGAATGAGAAATTCCTAATAATTTACTCCTAATAATGTTTGTTCATTCATTCGTGCCTGCAATTGTTCACTATTACGTTAATTTGTTATTGCATTCATTCTTTAGTTTTATTGTGTGCTTTCTTTCGTTATTGCGTTCTTTCTTTTGTTCTCTTTTGTTAGTGTTTCTTTTATTACAGCATTCTTTGTTTTGTTATTGCGGTCTTTTTTTTCGGTCTTTCCTTCTTATTGCAGTCCTTTCGTTTTTTTCATTCTTTCGTTATTGCGTTTTTTTATTATTGCGTTCTTTCTTTAGTTCTTTCTTTCGTTCTCTTTCAATAATGTGTTTCTTTTGTTATAGCGTTCTTTCTTTCATTATTGCTTTCTTTCGTTATTACGTTCTTTCATTCTTTTGTTATGGTGTTCTTTCTTTCGATATTGCGTTCTTTTGTTCTTTTTCGTTCTTTCATTGCATTCTTTCTTTCATTCTTTTCGTTTCTTTCGTTATTACATTCTTTTGTTCTTTCATTCGTTATTGCGTTTCTTCTTTCATTCTTGTTGTTTTTCCTTATTGCGTTCTTTCTTTCACTCTTTTTGTTATTGCGATTCTTTTGTTATTACATTTTTTTTCTTTCGTTATTGTGTTCTTTCGTTGTTGTTTTTCGCAATTGCGTTCTTTCTTTTGTTCTTTTTTTGGTTATTGCATTTAGTTCTGGCATTCATTCTTTTTTCTTTCTTTTTTGTTTCTTTTCTTTTTTGTTGTTTTTGTTCTTTGTTCATTCTTATGTTTTTTCTTAGTTCGTTTGTTCTTTCATTCTTTTTTTTGTTTCTTTCTTTCTATCATTCTTTCTTTTTGTTCTTTCGTTCTTTCTCCATTTTCTTTTCTTTTTCTGTCTTATTTCTGGAACCTCTTTTTTTTTACTTGTGGAGACTATTTTATCTCTTTGTAAGTAGTTTTCTCTGCAAGAACATTGGTTTTAAGTATGATAGTAGAAACCTGTTCAAATGTGTAATTTAAAATTTAGTTTTAGGACAGGCAAAACTGGCAATTTAAAAGAGGCGTAAAAAGTGTTGGTAGTAGCGTTGGTAAAATACATTTGTTGGCTTTTTTTTTTAATTTTTGTAATTTTTTTATTATACAAATCTAGTTGCGGCCCTCCAGAATTTGAGTTTGAGACCATTGATGTAGAGGAAAATGCTGGAATGTTTTCCACAGATTTGTTTACCACCAAATAAAGAAAGAAATGGACGACAGAGCGGTCCTTTTCAGGAAACACACTAGCCAAACTCTGATGTCAAACGGCCCCCCAGTTGCACACCAAAAGCGCTAGTGTGAAAAAGCCTACATCATAGACCAGACATTTTCACTCTCAAAGTGAACTAATCCTTTTAATAGATCTCTAAAATTAGCATGAAGTAAAGCTTAAAAAAGACGAGAACTGTGATGCAGACGGCACATCTGTGTGGGCTAAACTGACTCATCTGTAGATTACAGTGTTTTTAAAGCTCAGGCTTTTCTTTTGCAGCATTGAGTCATCATTTGGAGGATCAGATGAGTCCCACTCTTTTGGCCTGGTACGTCCATCAGCTTCCAGAATGGCTGCTGAAATTAGGAGCGGTGGTTATGTTGCACAGCGGGATATGCATTCCTCTTCTGACGTTCTTTGCTCCCATTCGCCGCCTCAGACTGTTCGGCTTTTACGTTCAGGTTTGTTATGTACACACTGTTGTTTGAGTGCAGGTTTGCATTGAAAATTATCCACATGCCTGCTGTAGAAAATGTTATTTACAGTAGAAACCTATTCAGTGTTTAATGGTAGTTTGTCACAGAAAATGAGTTAAATGAAATTTTACTATAACGGTCATTTAAATTTCTGTTGTACCCATTTGCCAGTGTGTTTTCTATAATTGAAAATTAATTCATGAATTGACTAAAATCACTACATTTATAGATGTTCAAGTGCAGTGTTTAAAAGTACAAAAATAACAAGTACAGAATAAGTATATTGGTCACACTTTACAATAAGGTATCAATATTAGCAAATGTATTTACTAACATGAACTAGTTATGTACGATACTTGTACAGCATTTAATAATCATACAGTGATCAGCATATACGAGTACACTCCTAACAAATCTCTCTTTTAAATTCATATTTTTAATAGGAAGCTATACAATGTTATATTTGTGCATGTACATTAGATTAGTCAGTACTGAAGCCAAATCTGGAGCTCATCTAACAAGTTACCTTACAATAACACTCCAAAAACTAGTACACTCATATTTATATGTTATAGAAAATTATTCAATACAAATTTAAAAAAGGAAAAATTATGGGAAGAAATGTAAATGTAAAAAAGACAGAAATTTAAAAAACGTTTGTTTAACTTTTGTAGGTTGTAATTATTTTTTGCAGTATTTTGCTTGATCTTATTTGTATTATCTTTCAATTTCTAAATATGTCTTTCTAAAACTGTTGTTTAAATAAATGAAGAGTTCAGATGCAAAAACCTTTAAATACTGTTTGCAATTTTTCTGTTGTAGGTTCAGTAATATCACATTTAATGCAAATAATAAGTCCTTTTCCTAGTCTTTAAAGTGAAATATCTCGACATAAACAAAGGAGGCTGAAAAAAATGGATGGAAATTTCAGATGGCAGGTTTTTGCATCTGAACTCATCAAATATATCTGTTTAATAAATTTGTTTTGTTCAAATGCACAAAAATACATTGCCTAAATTCTCTGAGAAATGGATACAAATATTCATTTTTAAAATGGGGTGTACTCAATTATGCTGAGCATTATAGTTCAACATTTACTAATGCATTAACATCCAAATTCATGCATGATAACTTTAGTCAATGCACCATGAGTTAACATAATTAACTCGAACAAATACTGTAATCAATAGATTGTTCATTGTTTGTTCATATTAGCAAATGCATTAAGTAATACAACCTTATTGTAAAGTGTTGCCAGTATATTTTATAATAACATGTATAATTTCCTTATTTAGAGTAAAATATATATTTCTTTTCAAGTGCAATATTGAAGCGTTCATAAGTGCAGGTCAGGTTTTTATCAAATATAAAGTCCATATTTTACACTGCATGATAACTAATTATCTTTTAGCTTAACCCATTTGTTGACTTTCTTCACAAAACTTAAAAATACTTTGAACTTATGTTTTTGAGTATATGAAATGTACATCTTATTTCTTGTAGTTCATACTTCTCATTAAATTTATTTCCTATGAATGTAGCACTTAAAGCTTATCAAATCACTTTTGCTGTCACATCAGCAGCAGCACGTGTTTAGGTGCACTTGAGGCTTAGGTGCTGGCTCAAGTGCAAATACAACCACAGTGCAAATTACTACAACAAACTCCCCAAAAAAACAGGACAATGTAAAATTGGCCCAAAAAGCTTATTTGCTAGTTAAAACATGAAGTGCATTACTGAAAACAACACAAAAAAATTGTGTAAATGAAAATTATTTTATGTACAAACAGACTGTGTGATTAACTTGTATGTTTGCAAAAACAAAACAAAAATAAAACTTTTTTTTCTATTTTTTAACTTTTTTTTATTTATTTTTTTATGATTTTCTCAGCTGTTTCTCCAGCTCTTCCATATCCTGACGGGTAACTGCAGCCTTCTGAACCTGCTGAGCATCGCCCTCAGCTTCTCTTTGCTGGATGATGATCATTTCAATACTCCTTCAAAGAAGAGGAAGGGCCAGGAAAAGAAGACCAGAAGTATGACACAAAATATGCTCTTTTTTTATTTTTTATTTTTGTTTTTTCCCTCCCCTGCTATAACCACACATATGATCACACAGGATTCAGAAACATTTAAGCAGTTGTAAACAATTTATTTGGGCTGATTTTAACAAATCAAATTAAGTTAATACTCTATGACTCAACACATATCAATATTGTTTAAACTCAACCCATATCAATAGTTTTCAGCAATTTTGCAGAACTCATTTTCTTCAGTGCATCAACTGCTTTGAGTTTATTATCCGTCTGTTTGATGTTAGGCTGGCTGCAAACCCTGGCCTCTGGTTTTGTTCTTCTGGTGGAGTTGGCTGTGTATGCGTTCATCCTGTACAGTGCCATTACACTCTACCAGCTGCAGATCGACTGGGAACAAAAAAGAGTGTCAGCCAAAACAGGTGAGAGCGTCCTGCATTATGGATTCTTGAAATATGTTGTTGAATTCTGTATCTTGAAATATAAATTGTCAAATGTTATCTTTGATTAAACATGGAAAGGAATTTAGTGAAATGTTATGATCTTGTGGAGGTTTGTTGAAGTTGCAATGATTCTATTCAAAGTCACAAGACTTTAGTATTTAGAAAATGAGTGGATTTTATTTCTTTTTAGATGTTCAATGATGAGTTCAGAATCCTGCTTAAATGTGAATGAAATATGCGTTAATACTATGTGCTTTTAATGCTAAATGTTGTAATGAATTTAACAAGCTTATTTTTGATATTTAATATCACATTTAGGTTATGGAAACCTGATTCCACTATTAAGATTTCATTTTTAATTTTTTACAAATTTTATATTTCACAATTTTGAGTTAATATATGTGTTTTTTTCTTTCTCCCAAGTGTTAAAATTGGTAGTTAAAAAAAGTCAGAATTGCTACATGCATTAAAAAAATAATTTAAAAAAATCTGAGAGGAAACGCATTGCAATTACCATTTATTTATTTATTTATTTATTTTATCTACCCCTTGATAGATTTCAGCTTTTATATTTTAGTATCTAATGTACAATTGGGGTGAAATAAAATCTTTAATCTCTAATAATTTATTCTTTTACATTGCAAAAAATATTGTGTGATTATACCTCTACTAACTGTTTGCTATGAACTAATTTATCGAGCATATTTTGATCTATTAAACTTTAGTTTTTAATGACACAAAAATGATCAGCATCTAAGCTACTCATTGCCGTTCCTTTAATGTCTGACCATTTCAGATTTCAGTCATGGGAGATTTGCTGCGTTTGTCCTGCACATCCAGGAACTCACTATCTGGGTCGGTGTGCTGTCGTTCACATGGGAAGCCGTGAATGCCATGCTAAAGTAAGCCCTATCAGTAATGTGCATGATGGTTGACTTCGTGCTTAAGTATAAGAAGTAAAAATAGAGATTTTGTTAAAAAAAAAAAAAAAAAAGCAAGCCAAAGGAAAATGTCTCCTCTGTTTCCTTCATCAGGTGTTTGTGCACTCGAGGCATTGTGAGCAAGCTGTGGTCCCTCATACAATGGGCGCTCGTCACCGCGGCTGCTGTGGCCGTCTTTGCCCTCAGTGTGGTGAGTTTACTGTCCTACAGATGTAATAAATGCTAATGTGCTAATCAATTAATTTATAAGTGTTAATCTACGCAGGTAAGCCTTTAAAAAAAAGCTCTTACTTGCGTTAAATGTTGCATGTGCTGCAAAAATGAAGTGTTGGTTCACCCAAAAATGTTTATTCTGTGATTTTAGTTGCACTCCACCTGTTGTTAACATTTGAGTTTGTTTCTTCTGTTGAACACAAAAGAAGATGTTTTGAAGAATGTTGGAAACCGTTTTAATTGATGTCAATGGTTACCCGTTTCTAACATTCTTTAAAGTCGCTTGTTTTGTGTTTAACAGAAGATTTGTGGGGTATTTTTGGATGATTTTAATATCTTTGCCAGTATTTGTGTTTCCAATAATATTTGCTTTACGTCTATTAAATGGAGAATTGTTTACTTGTGATGCAGACTGAAGGAATCAAGTCTTGTTTTTGTGAAGTTTAACAAAATTAAGTACATTTATGCCTAAAGGAAAAACAAATATCTGACTTGGAAATTTGCAAAAGTGGATTTTGGGCCCATTTGCAGGTTTATCTTTTTGTTTTAATCATATCTTTGCTTGTTTCTCTGAAAACAATATTCTTTGCTGTATGAAGACTGCATTTTTTCCTTCACATTTTGATATTTTATTTAAACAATAATTATTTAAACATTTATTTGAAACAATAAAAAATGAGTTTTACATGCCTTTAGTATGATCTCTTTTACTGATGCCACTTTTGAAAATTAAATCAATGCAGACACACGTGACGTCTCATCTTTTAATCCCCCTTTTATTCTCTTAGTTTGGTGCCTGTTAAATTAATGTTGGGCGTCTTTTTTCAGGTTCCATACTCTACTCTGCCTGGCATGTCATCCACTACAGTGTTTCCTAAAGTGCTAGACTTGTACAGGGCGGTGGAGAAATTTCACCTGGTCGGGGCGTACGGTGTCCAGCACAGACCGATCTCCACCGAGGGACGCCCGGAGATCATTTTAGAGGGCAGCTACGATGGTCTCACATGGACGGTATGAGGAAGGACAACCCCAGATATTTGGGATGTACATTTCAGTACAAGCCTCAAGTTCTGGAGTTTACCAAAGATATTATATTATGCAAACATTAGCACACTTATTTTTTAATAAAAGCTCCAAAAATGTTGGGACAGAGGCATGCTTAAGAGTACAAAATGTAAGAATTTCTTCATAACAAAATATACAATAGCCACTATATATAATACAGTTTATAAGTGTTAATCTACGCAGTAAAGCCTTTAAAAAAAGCTCTTACTTGCGTTAAATGTTGCATGTGCTGCGAAAAATCAAGTGTTAGTTCACCCAAAAATGTTTATTCTGTGATTTTAGTCGCACTCCACTTGTTGTTAACATTTAAGTTTGTTTCTTCTGTTGAACACAAAAGAAGATGTTTTGAAGAATGTTGGAAACCGTTTTAATTGATGTCAATGGTTACCCGTTTCTAACATTCTTTAAAGTCGCTTGTTTTGTGTTTGACGGAAGATTTGTGGGGTATTTTTGGATTATTTTAATATCTTTGCCAGCATTTTTATTTCCAAAAAACAAGCAAGAAATCAAGTCTTGTTTTTGTGAAGTTTAACAAAATTAAGTACATTTATGCTTAAAGGAAAAACAAATATCTGCTTTGGAAATTATAAAAGTGGATTTTGGGCCTATTTGCTGGTTTATCTTTTTGTTTTAATCATATCTGTAATATATATATATATATATATATATATATATATATATATATATACATATATATATATATATATATATATATATATATATATATATATATATATATATATATATATATATATATATATATATATATTATGTCTTATGTACTTGCATTATCCCACATGTTTTAAAGAATGTTTATATCCAAAGAAATAAACTACTTTCACTAGTGACCAATACAATATACCATACTCATAATTTAGCTTTTGCTAAAGATGTCAATATTTTAGCTCATCCATGAACATGGTTTTGCCGGTGTTTAATTTAATAAAATAAAGACGACAACATCCATAAAACCACACTCAAGTCACAACATCATCTAACTATGCCTTGTTTGTTGTGAATATGTGCCCTCTAGTGGCTAAAATTACATGCAGCACATTTAACACTTACACATTCCTTTTAGTTAGTGTTTAATTGTTTGGGTGTTGAGGATGCTAATGTTTTACAGTCTAATGTAACTCAAGTCTTCAGATGGTAAGCCATACATTTTCAGTAATACACAGATCAGGGGTCTCATTTTTGAAAATTTGTCTAAAAGAAACCTCCCTAAAGTAAATTCATAGTAATGTATTTATTAATGATTATGGCTCATATAATGATTTCAAATGGTTTAATTAAGTCAGTGTTTAAGTTATAAATGTTTAACACATATTCTACCATTATGTTTTTTTGTTTTTTTTAATATATATATATATATATATATATATATATATATATATATATATATATATATATAGATCACAACTTTTGCATGGAAAGTGGCGTACACGCATTTCCACTTGATTTGTGGATAAGCCACGTTTATAAATAAGACCCCTGGACTGCAGTCAGGCCAGTCAAGCGTTCACTTTGCATTAAAAAAAAAACAACATCACTCTTTTCTTGTAGCGTTTTCACTTACTTTACCTCTGTCCCAACACCAAAAAGCCATCAAACCCAACATTTGTGTATGTTTACGGTTTTTTCATTCAGCAGAAAGGCTGATGTTTATTCTCAGTGGACGCTTTTACTCTTCTCCTGCTGCAGGAAATGAACCCCATGTATAAACCCGGAGATGTGAATGACATCCCACCAGTAGCGGGCCCTCATCAGCCGCGTCTGGAGAGTATGATGTTTCAGGCGACTCAAAAAGGACATGATCATAACCCCTGGTTTGCAGGCCTCCTCCAGCGCCTCCTACAGGGCAAAGCAGATGGTGAGCGACAACAATGTTATATTTCATTTTTATTTATTTAACAGATGCTTTTAGTCATAGCAAAGTATAAGTGAGGATAAAAGAAGCACTTAAAATCATCAGAGAGTAGCAGTATATAAATGCTTTGACAGATCTAAGTAGCTTTTCATTTTTAAATCATGGATATTTGTTTATTTTCAAATGATAACAAAACCATAAAGACATACAAGATAAGTACTGAGGTCGCCAGATTGAGTCTTATTTACATTCATAAGTAAGATCCTGTTGTGTTAAGGGTTACATACCAAAGATAGAAAATCTCTTCAGGGGGGATTTCAGAACTGTTAAATAAACGCACCTCAATTAAATGAATGATGATGGATGTTTTGAAGTGCGCTGCTGATTGCCTGTTTTCTGTGTTTTGCAGTCATTGGTCTGCTGCAGGTGGATGAAGCGCAGTATCCCTTCAGTCAGAAGCCACCGGCTCTGATCAAAGCCAAACTTTACCACTACCACTTCACAGACCCGGTTAAAGACAAGTGAGCTTTACAACACCCAATTCTGTATTTATAGTATTATCCACATTATTGATTGGCATCTAAACTGAGTGGGAATGTCAGAAATGTGTGACATGCACAAATTTTCACTGTTAATTTGGGTGGATACTTGATGGCTATGTTAAATCACTTGCCAATTTTATTTTTGTGATGTGAATAACTTTTTAATATAAATACATTTTTAAATAATATTTTTCATTGACAAATATCCCATTTGTAAGTCCTATCGCTTTCTCACTTCAACCGATCCGCTCCAGAGTTTTTCAATCAAGCCGAGACCACCTCATTCAGGCGATCTCGGAGCGATTGTTTTAGTGCGGATCCGAGAGCGATTGCTGGATTCACATATGCCAAATGAACTGTGCTAACTTTGCAGGCGAGACAGGTTCCGAAAGGTGTGAAAGCACCCTAAAATAACTAACAACTATGCTGAATAATTTTTAAATGTCATAAAATTGTCAATTTGTCAACTCGTATTTAAAAAAAATCCCATTTACTATTAGAAAATGAATAATAGAACCAAAATATTATACTGTATAAGTTGACATGTTCAAAGCAAACTTCTGTTCACGTTTGGTGTTTAAGAACACGTGTTTGTAAAAATGCAATAAATAAAGTTGTCTTATATTGAAGTATCTACAGTTTTTATAGACCCAAGTGAACGCATCATATAAAAGCCCATGCAAAAATAGAAATTCTTCTCTTTTAACCTGTTAAGAACTACTAAAGCAATCCGACAGAAGAGAAACTTTACTGGACTTCTGTTTGTCGTTTCTGAAGGACTCATCAGAAGGCTTGGTGGAGGCGACAGTACAAAAAGGAGTTTAGTCCTGCTGTGAATCTTGATGATCCGAAGCTCAACAGACTGTTAGATGAGTCTGGACTGAAGGTACACAATTCATCACAGTCTTTAATTAATCAAACACCTTTCAACCAAGGTTGTAGAAATTGTTACATTATTACCCAATAGGTGGCGACAAGCAACCATTTAAAATGCATTTGTCTCTTAAAGTGATAGTTCACCATTTTTAAAACATTCAAATGATCAGCATTCACTCAACATTCAGTTTTTCAAATCCGGAGTTTCTTTTTCAGTTCAAAACAAAAGGAGATATTTTGAAGAATGCTGGCACCCATTGACTTCCAGAGTATTTTTTCCCTATTATGAAACTCAATAGGTGCCAGCAACCAACATTCTTTAAAATATCTTCTTTTGTGTTCAACAGATGAAAGAAACTCATAAATGTTTCAAATAACATGAAGAGTAAATAATGTGATTTTCACTTTTGAGGGAACTATCCTTAAATTTTTTTTAAATATATATATTTGTACTATTTAATATATAAAATATATTGAAGCAAATAAGATTGTCAATCTTTTAATTTTTTAAAAATTATTTATTTATTCATTTACATTTATGTTGTCTTCAGAATTGTGGAAAATCATAATCTCTTTTACACAACTTTTTGTTATTTATATTATGCAGAATATTTCATTTCTAGAGCATGATCATATCAGTTTCACATTTAATTCAAGCAAAGTCTTGGAGTTCTTAAATCATTCATAATGAGGTTTAAAAATGTATTATAACACTGTTTAAAATTTAAAAGCACATTACAGCAAATAAGGTTGTCATGACTAGGGCCAGACAGAATATGCGGACATTTTTTTGCTATTTGTGCAGAGAATTTTGCAAAAATCTGCGGATTTATGCAGAATTATTTTAATAGTATCATAACTAAACTTAATATATGAAGTCAACAAATAATGCAACTTGCAGTATTAAGTAAACAAAGCAAGTCTTATAATATCTCTTATAAAAGACAGAACATGTTACCCAACAACTGTATTGTAAATAAATCATATGAACATTTTAATATTATTATATCGCAATAATATTAGTAAAACAAATTTAAAAACTGAATAAATACACATTTACACAAGTAAATACATAGACTCAATGATGGGCTAAAAATCAGCAGATTTCTGCGTGCGCAAATTCTGTGTGGTCCTAGTCATAACCTATGAAATGATGTATATTAAGATTTCTATACAAAATTGTTATTTTTATATCAATAAAATATGTATTATTATATTCGCTTTGTAAAACATATGCTGGATAAGTTGGCGGTTCATTCATTTCTGATGAATAAAGTGATTCAAGCCATTCTCACACTGAGATTTCAGCCACGATTCTGTCATCTGGGACAAATATCAGAAATCCAAAATAATTCCTGAAATCCTGAGCTAAAATCTGTGATCTTTGATCTTTGGTTTGACATGATCACAGACAGCCGCTTAATGCCCGTTGCGATCTGATTTGTCTTCCGATGAAGTTCTGACAGTGTCAGTAGAAAGTGTCATTGGTTGATGATGTCACATCTTTAGTGTGTGGCACGGCTTCAATGTCGTTCAGTCTAACATTATAGGCTGCTGAGATCTTACAGTGTGACATGGGAGCCATGTTCGTGCAGTCTGACATGTTAAAATCATCCAGGATCATAAAAAAAAAAGTCTCACACTATAAGTGGACCTTAAGTCGAAGGATAATGAACGGGTGTAATATTGTATTGTATTGTAATTTATATATCCTAAATTGTGCAGCTGTGCATCACAACAATACATTTCACATTGGTTTCAAGTGCATGAAACTCATCTGTCTGTTTTACAGGAGAAATTCCCAATTCAGCCAGCCACCGACACGCCACTATCCCAAACCCTCATCCTCATTCGGGACCCCATCAAGCACCTCTCGGGGGCCCTGGTGATATCATCATTGCTAGCCACTGTGGCCAGCATCTTCCTCATCAGAGTAATCTTCTCCAGCTTTACAGGAGGCCAAAAACCTAGAACGGCTTCAGCCGATCACAGGAACAAGAAGCCCAAAGAGCCATCTGAAACTGTGGAGAAAAGCCACACAATGTCTGCGTCCAGCCGGCCCGGCAAGAAGGACTCAAACGAAAAAAAGGTGGACTCAGATAGAAGCCCTCGCAAGAGGAAATGAGCCACTAGTGCCTTCATCTTTCGGCCAAATGCAATGACAAATGAATCTCTCTCAGGTGTACATTTTGTTTTTTCTAAGGTCGAGTGGATTTGCTGTCTGTTACACACTTTGAGTTTTGCTTGTTTACCACTACACACACCGTTTTATCCGTCTCTCACACACTCAGTCAGATGAGCGGTACTCGTGCTACTGGATGTAATTGGCTTTGAAGCGAGTCCATTTTTTTAAGCCGTCACCTGCTACACACTTCTTTATTCGATACACACACAGTGGACGTCCCAAAGATGACAACGAAAAGCACAAATGCTGATTTGTTTTTGATGCTATTTAACTCATTAAACGGTTGTTGATTAAATGATTTCATTCCTCAGTTGTTGTTTTTTCCCCCGTAGTGTAAACCATGATAAATATATCAATAATAAGATTCTCATTATTGGGGTATTTATGTAAATGTAATTGTTTTCATGCAAGTGTACACATCAATAGCTAGTGACTTCAGAAAATGTACATCTTTTAAAAACTATTTCAAGATGAATTTCACAAAAAAAAATAAGCATATATATATATATATATATATATATATATATATATATATATATATATATATATATATATATGGTGGGAAATGCATCTATTGTTATAATATATTGTTATTAATGTATTGTCTCAATTGTTACCAATTGCTGGTGCATGATGAACTATATTTTGCTGAATTTATTAATGTTGGTTAATATAATTGTTATTATTCACACTGCATAAGTTTATGTTGGGATACTTTTTTATTTATTAGTAAATTTTGTGGTTAACTGTAAGCGAAGTTTATTTATAAACTAATTTCGAGAAGATCACATGCTTATGATTGTTAACGGCTGGTCTCGCATCAGCTTACAATTGATTCACCAATCAGATGATTTCGCTATATAACCACAGTTTTTTATCTCGGTATCTTCATCTAGAAGAATCCCACCCCCTACTCCTCCTCCTCCTCCTTTCCAGACGGGTGACACGGCAGCCAAGTGATTAGCACTGTTGCCTCACAGCAAAAACGTCTCTGGTTAAAGTCTTTACTAAACCAGTTAACATTTCTGCGCGAAGTTTGCTCGTTCTCCCTGTGCTCATTTGCTCATTTTCTCCGGATTTCCTCCCACAGTCCAAAAACACGCAACCTAAGTAAATTGAATATACCAAATTGACAACATAGTCAAGCTTATAGCAAGCAGTATATCTCTCATTAGCCATCCTATATCTGCCAGAAATAAGTCGGGGGAGTTCATCGAGATCTGCCTAAGCTCAAACTCTCCTCTCGCCATGCAAACAAGAGGGAGCCCCAGGCTCGAGGATCTTATGAGCAATTTTAAATTAAATCTATAATACTATTGAACAGTAGAGCTATTAAAATTTGATTAACTAATTAGAACTAGAATTTGTACCCATTATTAGTTAACTACAGGTTTAATAATTATTTTCTTTCTTACTAAAAACCTGACGATATTTGGTGCAGTTTTAATTTCTAATTCACGTTTTTGCATCTGCTCTGATTGATTTGGTACTAAAATGCTAATTCTGTGAACCGGGACCCTGAAATCGCTGTAATCATGAGTTGCTGACTGTGTGTTTGGGTTAAACTACACTCAAAGAATACTTTTGCTGTTTGTTCAAACTACTTATTTAAGATAAGCTTAATGCAGTTCCTTAGTTTGTTTGTGACAACTTGATTGTTGTCTGTTCAATCCACTTACATTTGTAAAAACTAATAAGTGAACTTAATTGCTTCATGTTGTCTCGGCACAAATTGATTGTAGAAAACAGCATTTTTTGCGATGCATTTCATACTAATAGTTAATATTTGTTCTTATTTGAAGTATTGGAAAACAGGTGAGTAACATTGGTAAGTAGGCAAAATGCATCTACTGTTATAATCTTTTGTAATTTATGATTGTTTCATTTATAATGATTTCAAATGTTACCAATTGGTGGTGCATGATGAACTGGAATTTCTTTAATGTTTTTAATGTGTTCATGTTAATTCACACCGCATTAATGTAAAAGTTTAATGATGACATTGTTTTTTTTTTTATATTAGTAAATCTTGAGATAAACATTTATTTTGAATTATTTTCAGTTTTAACTAATCCTGTTAAATCGTAGGTTTATTTTTTTATATTATTATTAGTAGTAGTAGTACTTATTAAACAATTAGAAATTAAATCTATAAAGCTATTAAACAGCAAAGCAATTATAAATAATAAGCTTAACTCAATTCTTTATTTTTTTTTTTGTTTGTTTTATCTTCAATCCACCTAAATTTGTAAAGACTAGTAACAGCGTTCCCATACTTACTGAAATCAAGGCCTTGAAAATACTTGAAAACAAACACAGATCCTTAAGAGTATTTGAATTTAATTTTAAATGAAATGTATTTATGGTTTTATTTCAACAGTTGGACTCGATTGTCAAAAATAAAATGGAAAAACAGAAGTTCTTAAAATAAAAATCTGAAACACTATTTGAATATCTTTAGTATTTTGTTAAAATTCTTTGAACTTGACTTTTTGAAAATAAAAATTTTACTTTTGACATTTGAAGGTTGATTTTAAGTAAGTGAAATGTTAAGTACAGAAAGGATTTTAATGAGGCATGAAAGGTGTTTGATTTGAAATTAATGATGCTTTAAAAATCCTTGAATCTGATGTTGGATCAGAAGTGGAAGTGTGGGAACCCTGTAATAAGTTCACTTAATTGCTTTTTGTTGTCCCAACAAATCAAAATCAATTGTGTGCAACCCAGCTTTTTTAACAGTGTATATCATGCTCTGAGTCAAAACATTGTTAATTTTCTTTTCCTTATTTATAGTATAGAAAAACAGGGTAACATTGGTAAGTTTCATACACTAAAACAAATTAACTTGTTACACCTAAAAAGAAATCGACTTAATGTGTTACAATCTTCAGTAATACGTTTAGCTTCTGTTAGGTGTAACAAGTTGAACTCATTTCTTTTTTTAAGTTGATTCAAATGTTTACATTTTTTATTCGCCAACATATACTGTATTTCTGCCCTTCTCTGCCACTTGCCATTGTTAATAGTTATTCATCTCGTGAATGGAATGCTGAACAGGTGCTTCTCTTTATAATTACATCAAAGGCTGGAATGTTCTTTGGCCGAGATATTAAATTGAACTGTTCGTCTTCACCCTATATTTTGTATCTGAGCCGGTACAGGGCACACCCGCATTGTCAGAACTTAATCCACCTGTCATTCACACATCAGTGCTTTGTCGCCAGAAGGTGGCAGTGTGCACAAATATCACTGCTGGTTTATGCTGAATGGTTACTGTTAATGGAGTGACATTAACTTCGAGACTAAAAATATACAACCTTGGCAGAGTTTAATTACTCAGAATGGGTCATGTTTAATGCTGAGGGCTATATGATTCAGTACAGTTTATAGGAAGCGGAATGCATTTGTTCTAGTACAATCAAGCATGTTGACATTGAAGCATTATCAAATGATGAATAATGTGTTTGTGTGCATTTGTGTGTTTAATAATTCATTTATAATGTTAAATGGAAATAGCATGCTGTCTCTTTTGGATTGGAAAGGAAAGTGAATCATCATTGTTTGTTTAAAGTGTCTATAGATTCTTACAATACACAAAATTAGTTTTTGTTTTTTAGAATTGAAGCAAAAACAAAAGTAGCAGCCTAATTTTCCATCAGATATTTAGTGCATGAACTAAATTTCGTTCGGTTTATTAGAAGTACTTTATTTCAAATGTTTACAATGTTTTTAAATTTGTAATGCAAATTACTACATTACATTGTTCCTCTCATTTGAAACTTTTTGTGGCTTTAATTTTTATAAGGGTGTGAAATATGATCTCTTGAAATATCCTCTTTTTTTTAAGACCTGCAGAAACCATTAATTATTCAACAACAATAATAATGAGCCACATGTACTGGTGCAATTATTGTGTGGATCATCTTGTAATTACAGACTGTTATTACCGTATAGCAAAGAACACATCTTAAGAATATAAACCGGTCTTGGCTGATTAAGTTGTCATAAGCTGGTCTTGAAAAATGACAGTGCTGAAAATGGCTGAGAGACCAGCCAAAGTGCTGTAATTGTGTCAGATTTGTGGGAACCATAGACTGTCAAAAAATTGTGAACCATTTAAAAATCTCAAGATATGTCTTAATTAATCTTAATTTCTCTCTCAAAAAAAAAAAAAATTAGAAGCTTATAGTTTCCAGTATGTAGTCATTTTCCAGCAGATCACATTGGTTTTAGTGACTTTGAGGCATTTTTTAAATCTGGTTTAAGTGTGTTGGTGCACTTTCAGCTGATCATATTGATTTTAAAAGGGTTTTGGTCTCTACTTAACTTCTAATGTTTGTTTTGTTGAAATCAAGGCACTTTTCTTTTGGTTTTCATGGGGTTGGTGCAGTTTTCAGATGGTCTGGTTATGATTTCGGCCACTTCTAAAGCTGGTTAGGTTGGTTTTAGAGGGATTTGGGGTTTGTCTTTGTTGGTCAGTCTGATCTGTTGGCTGGTTTCAGAGGATTTAGGCCACTTTCTAGCAGATTATGTTGGTTTCGATGTGTGTAAGCCACTTTTCAACACTTTGGCTTAAGGGGGGGGTTTGGGTACTTTTTACAGCACTTGCTCCGTCTGGTCTGAACATTTCAGACACTTTACAGCTGATCACTTTTGCTTTCAGAACTTTTAAAGCACCTTTCATCTGCTTTTAAAATGTCAGTGTGCTTTTGGCAATTCACTTTAGCCTTAAGCATTTCACTTCTCCGCTGATTATTTTGGTCTCAGAAAATTTCAAGCACTTTCTGTCTCTTCATATCACTTCATTGAGGCACTTTTGAACTGGCTTATTGTGGGTTTTCTGCTGGTCAGGTTGGTTTTAGTAGGGTTTTTGTCCACTTCTCAGTCAGTTATGCTGATTTTAGAGAGCTTTTGGTACTTAATTGGTCAGTCTGATCTTTAGGATTGGTTTCAGCCACAGTTTGGCAGATTACTTTGGTTTTAGTGCATTTCAGACAATTTTTCGAGGGCTTGCACATTTCAGCTTATTAAGTTATAAAGAGGGTTTGGCTATTTCTCATGAGATCAGATGGATTTGAGGTACTTTTGGTTGGTTGGTCAATCTGACCTTTTGAACGGTTTCAGGTACTTTCTGGCTTGGTTTTAGTGAGTTTTTTATTTATGATTTTAGAATTCTGGCATACATATTTCTGCTGGTCACATTGGTTTTAGTAGGGATTTTTATTACTATTCAGCCAGTTATGCTGGTTTAGAGGAATTTAGTTCTTTCTTTTGTTGGTCAGTCTTGTCTGGTGGTGGGATTCAGAAGTATTTATTGTCTGATCGCTTTGGTTTTATTGAGTTGGCGGCACTTTTTAGCTAGTGTAGAGGGTTAGTGTACCTTTTCACCTGCTCATGTCAGCTTAAACACACTCAAAAAAGATTGCCACTTGTTCAAACTACTTTAAAATGATCTGAAACAACACAATTCTTGAGTATTTGAAGGGGGGTGCTTAATTGTTTCATTTTCAATCTACTTAAATTTGATAAGTTAATCAACTTAATCAACTTAATCAAATTATATTCATGACAACATGAATGAATTGAGTGGAATCTATTTTTAACAATTTAGGCAGGTTTTAGAGGCACTGGGACACTTTTCAATTGATTTGATGGATTTTAGGTATGAAGCACTGTGGGGCCAGCTTAAACCCAAGCAAGACTAAAAGTCGAGTAAACCATAGGGTAAAGTCTAAGCTCTTTGTTTGTTAGTTTTTATTTATTTAGATTCATAAGTACACTTTTGAAACTTCGATGTGTCACTTGAAGTCTGGGTGAGTCACCCAACTCCTCTTGAATAGTTTTCTCTATTTTACACATTATAAGTGAGTCAAAGCGGCCCTACCTCTTAAACACAGAGGACAAGTCCATCCGCCCCCATTCACAGAAGCGCTGCGGGGCGAAATTGCGCACAGGCGTCGCGCTCTGAGCACGCCATGCTCTCCATCGGGACCGGAGGAGAAAAGACACGCCAAAACCACTGATTCCAATCCCGTCCTGTGATTATCTCCAGTCATTTACAGGCGGAAACATGCCTGCATTCCGCTGTCAGGGGTAGCGAAGAAAGTAGGGAGACACGGCTGATTTGTTTTTAATATTCCCATGTTCCACATGAGGGAGGTTAAGGTGAGTACACGCACTTTTGGGGACGCGCACGCACACCCACAGCGCACCCAAACGCGCGGTGGCTCTACTCACTTTCTCAGACAAATTATGCAATCGCTGATTACTTTTCACGACTTTCTAGTTAAACGATTAAGATGAAAGCTGTGATCAAGTTCTGACTGGATAGGTGTTTGTCATCGCACGCGTATTTGCTGCTTCTGTTGCTGAACTGCGTTCTGATATTCTCATTATAGATTGGAGAAAGCATTTGTGTATTAGTGTTGCTTTTTTCGGGGCTTGTGACCTGCTCAGGTGTTTTTGGGAGCCCTTTAACAGATGATGTGGCCACGTTAGATACCCTGGTAAGAGTTTTATTCAGACTTTTCTGGTTTTATGGGGGTGTTTGAATATGGTGTCGTTAATCTCAAAGATCAGCTTAAGCACAATCATAGGCTGCTACTTAATTTCGTTTTCCAGCAGAGATATACATTACATTTTCTCAAGTCTCGATGCAAGTTTAAGCAAAATGTATATCCAAAGGCATGCCACTGAGTCACTTTATAAAAACTAAAGCAATCCAAATTCTTGTTTTAACTCATCAGAGTGAGAATATTCCCAGTGACTACAGAATACCCATCAAGTTCATCACAAAGGATGTGGTAAGTATACATGTGGATGCATTAATGAGTGAATGACGAGTGTTTTTTCATCAAAATATGTAATTATATTTACATCACTTAATCAATGTATTATTATGCTTTAAATTATTGCATGCATTAGAATGTGTCTTGTTTATTTTCATTTTTTTCCTCATGCACATAATAGTGATTTACATTTTTTCATGCATATTATAATTAGATATTTTCTCATGCATATTATAATTATTTAAATTTTTTCTCATGCATATTAGAATTATTTACATTTTATTATTAAAAAAAGTTTCTCATGCATATTATACTTATTTGCATTTTCTCATGCAAATTATGATTTACAATTTTTTCTTAAGCATATTATAATTATTTACATTTTTCTCATGCATATAATTATTAAAAAAAAATTCATGCAAGTTACAATTATTTAAAAAAAATTCTCCTGTGTATTACAATTATTTACTTTTTTCTCATGCATATTATAATTATTACTTTTTTTCTCATGCATATTATATCTATTTACTTTTTTCTCATGCATATTATAATTTTTTGCATTTTTTCTCATGCATATTATTATTTAACTTTTTACTCGTGCATATTATAATTTACATGTTCTCATGCATATTATAATTATTTTCATTTTTCTCATGCATATTATAATTATTTAAATTTTTCACATGCATATTATAATTATTTACATTTTTCTCATGCATATTATAATGATTTTTTTTCTCTTGCAAATTATAATTATTAAAATTTTTCTCATGCATATTACAATGATTTAGAGAAGGCACCCACCAAAAAGGTTCTGTGTAACAGTTTATGTAAAATAAAGGGCATATTTATTAATAAATTAATTTCAGAATAAGTATGGTTTATTTTAACATAAATGTATTTGTTATTTCACACTAACTAATGATCAATCCTTTTCAAATGATTCAAGTGATTTGAAACACTAAATCTGACTCTACTTGCATTTAATAAGCATGCTATATGCAAATAAATTTACCATGTAAACACAGAATACCATTTGCACACTTGAGCAGCACTTCATGCATGAATTGAATCGCAACAAATACCAGCTCACATTTAACTAAGTGGGGGAATATCTTGAGCTTTGAAAAGTGTCGTAATATCTTGGCATAATGATTTCGTTGCAAGTTTTTTTTTTGTTTTTTTTTGCCAACAATTTGTAAATGCTTTGCATGAACATAAGCTCATGCATATTTCAGTTTACTCTTTATGATAAGGTTACATTAGCTAATGTACTTACTAACATGAACAAACAATGAACAAAAACACATTTATTTCAGTATTTATTCGTCTTTGTTAATGGAAATAAAGTTGTTCATGTTGACTTATGGAGGTAATAAACATGGATTTGAATTTTAATATTGCATAAGTAAATCTTGAACTATGATTAGTAAATCCTGTATTGTTCATCATTAGTTAATTTTAGTAAATATGAAACCGTATTATAAAGTGTGACCCATATTTCTATCAAGTAAGTTTCACTTTTGAAGCTTTTGATCGTGCGCAGTAACATGTTGAATCCAGATACATTTTGTGGACATTAAACATTATGTATCACATGAGCTGTGGTTTGTTACCGTTCCAGAAGAGACGCCTAAGCATTTTTCTCTTCTTATATTTTTAGGGTGGAGCTTGCTGGCTGCATTTGAACCTGTATCCAGTCGAGAGCAGTTTAAAAAAATTGGCCATCAAGTTTGGCAACCAGTCCACCAATAAGGCCAACATCACCATTTTCATAACAATGCTGCAGGATTTTCGTTTCACTCTGAACAGTGACGACCTGGTAATTTCCTCTCAATTGCAGTCGCATTCCTTGAAACATTGTCATGGCTGTTGTCTCATTTTGGTTTTGTTTGTCTTCCTCAGGAGGACAGAATGCAAGCCTTCAAGTGCCACTACAGAAGGGAAAAGTGGCCGACTAGGCGCTTCTTTAGCTATGTTAAATCCGTTCTTACAGTGGCCGGCTCCACATATGGTGATATTCCTCCATGCACACCTCCTCCTTGCCAGACCCTCGCAGCTCCTCCTTTCACGCCAGGTGAATGCACCAAATATTGCGTTTTGTTAAGATGCATGAACAGGCTTGATGGGATTTATGCACAACGAAATCTGTGGGATCTGTAGGATTCTGTGGAAGGAATGTGAGGACGATGAAGGGGTCAGCTAATCTATGGGAAAACAGCTGATGCTTTTTAGTTTCCATTGAAGAGGATTTCTTCTGGGGCTTCACTTGGGTTTGTTCAAACTTGCATGATCATGCATGCAAAAGCTGAGCGTATTTGTGTAAAAAGCACTCTATAGCAGATAAATCAGTTGACATGCTGTTTGTAAAAGAGAAATGAAGTACTACTCAAGCATGCAATGACAATCTGGAGAATGGTGTGAAGCAATATGTGAAGGGTCAAGCATGTCAGCTACATAAATGAGTTACTGAGTGGGTAGGTTTACTTAATTTAATAGTGTGGCAGAACCTGACAGGTTTTCACAAAGACCAAATATGAACTCCTCAGTCATAGTTTAGATTTTTTTTCTTCTTTTAATATCTATCTATCTATCTATCTATCTATCTATCTATCTATCTATCTATCTATCTATCTATCTATCTATCTATCTATCTATCTATCTATCTATCTATCTATCTATCTATCTATCTGTCTATCTGTCTATCTGTCTATCTATCTGTCTATCTATCTGTCTATCTATCTGTCTATCTATCTGTCTATCTATCTGTCTATCTGTCTGTCTGTCTGTCTGTCTGTTTTTTGTTGATGAAGTACTAAATTAACTACTCGTATAGTGACAATTTAATATTGCAAGAGCTGCCTGAATTGCTGTGTAATAACAGTACACTATTGTGATATGGTATTAATTATTTATGCTTTATTTATCCATTCTCCATGCACTGATGTTAAACGTCTGTATTCATGTATTAGTGCATACACTGCAAAAAAAATGCTTTTCTTACTTCGATTTCTAGACCAAATATCTTAAAATTCTGGAATCAAGAAAGATCTTCTAGACAAGCAAAACATTATCTTGTTTTCAGAAATAATGTGCTAAAATTAAGTGTTTTTTCCCCCTTAAAACAAGCTAAATAATCTGGCAATGGTGTAAGCAAGATGATCTAAAATCAAAGGGAAAAAAAAAACAAGATTACTTTGCTTACCCCGTTGGCAGATTATTGTGCTTGTTTTAAGGAAAAACTTTTAATTTTGGCATATTATTTCTTAAAACAAGACAATAGTTGGTAACACTTTATTTTAATGGTCTATTTGAGTATTAGTAGCCTGTCTGTTTAATATGTTGATACTGCTCCTTCAACAGACATTTAACTGACTATTAGAAACTTTGCAAGTACATGTCAACTTACACTAACCCTAACCCCAACAGTTTGCTTATAATCTACTGCAAATTTGTTGATCTACAGATGCAATGTAACTAACTTTAACAAACGGACCATCAAAATAAAGTGTGACCCATTAGTTTCGCTCATCTGGAAAACACTTCTTGATTAATGAATTGTTTGATATTTGAAGTAGTAAAAAAAGTAAGAAAAGCATTTTTTTGCAGTGTAACCTATAAACTATCCCAAAAGTAAACAGGTTTTCAAACTTCAATAAGATAAAAGTGTAAAGTAATAATAATAAATGTTATTTATAATGCGCTTTTCTAAAACAACAAAGCGCTAAGTTTTGAGTTTCTTTACCCTCAACTATATTAAAATGTGTCCTGCTTAGTTTAAATACCATACTTGTTACAGTTACACTGGAAATAAACCGTAAAATAAGCCATTATTCCCGAGCTGCCAGAAATAAATCCAAAAATTACGGATTTTTTTTTTTTTTACAGTGTAACTGTAACAAGTTAAATTACAGAAATTTACTGTAAAATAACAGGTTGAATTACAGAAACATTACAGAAATTGACCAGAAATATTAATTTAAAGTAATTTCTGTAATTTAACGGCTGTTATTTTACTTTTTTTCTTTTTTTTTTTTTTTTAGCACTCCAGCTGCTGAAAATAAAACATAAAATTACGGATTTGTATATTTTTTTTTTTGTTTACAGTGTAGTTACTGTAAAAATACCATATATATCCCAAAATCGTTATATTTATAAGAACCATCATTAGTTAGATTTAACATTATTTCTTTCATCATTTTAATATTCTATTTAAAAAGTCTTTAATTCGTAGAATTTTTTCCCGTTTGTTTAATTAGCAGCATAATTATTAAAATGTAACGTACAAATATTCAACAAATGAATCTTCAATTATTGGTGAGGAGGTCTTTTTAAACATCTATATTTGTCAGCACTTTCGCTGAGGAGATTATCACTGATGCTCGTGTCTGAATGGAAGCAAATCCCCTCAGCCTTGTCCCAACATCTAATGGAAAGCCTTCTCCGAAAAAACATAGAGGATAAAGGGAGGGATAAACTCTTTATCAATGCCAATGCTTTTGAAATTAATGCTCAACAAACACAAATGGGTGTGGTGTTCAGGTGTTCACATACTTCAAGCCATATAGAGAAGTGTATTCGCAAGACCTGAAAGGGGAATGTGTTTTTTTTTTTTTGGCAGGTCAAAGCAGACAGCAGAATGGCATGAACTCTGCGGTTCATGGGCTCCTGGCGCTGCTCATCATCCCCAGTGTGGCTATTCTAGTTCTCACTATCCAAATGGTAAGGTGATACCTATATATATGTATACAAACCACCATGTTTACCAGCAACTGTAGCTCTTGTGTCTATTGCAAGGAAGCCCTGAAGGCGCTCAATGAAATTTTTGTCATTTTTGCACTGACAGCGCTATGCTTCGTGAACACCCATGTCTCAATGAGGTCAATTATGATTGAAATTACTTGCCATCCATCAAAGTTTTCTCAATCTACAGGCATTAGGAAGAAGAGGTCGTTGTGGAGCAAGAATGCGTGAAGTTGAGCCTCACGACAGAGCTGAAGAAAACAGAAATGAGCTCCACAGCGGAGCTGCACAGGAGGACCCGGCTTCCACCTCCGCCAGTGAACAAGACAGGTGTGTTAGTTACGACAAGTTTTTCTGTTTACCAGTTTGTAAACAAGACCTAACAAAGCCTTTTTCCATCAACATGTGGCATCATTGCAGGGCGTGGCTGGATTCTTTAGGGTGTGCAGACACAGAGGTCTAATAAAAAAAAAAAGCAAAAGGAAAGTCGACGGAAACGCCAGTATGCTCCGGAGTTATGAAGGGAATATCCAGAACGGGATGCTTTTAAGCCATACCTGCTCACCATTAAACTTTGGGCCGAAGAGACCAATCGTAACACGCGACGAGCTTAACCAATCAATGAGGGTCTGTTATTCCGGGATGCCATCCGGAAAAACAGCACGGGAAAACCTTTATGATTTCATCCGGCAGGAAGTGCAGCTCTTTGATGAGCTTCTTGCAGCGCCCGCGGCAGCTTTGCTGGCTTTGAGGAAAAAGCCACTGGTCCTGCAAGCCTCTGCGCGAGAGGATAAATGGCTTTTTTGTGCCAGAGCTCGTCATTGCATGAGGACGGCGGTTTATGTTGCACCAGAAAACATCTTTGGAACAGAGCACGGGCTTGTCTGGAAACACGTTTGATTTAGAGCGTGATCAAGCGTGCCAAGATTTTGGGTGTTTTGCTAGTGTTTTATTTGAATATTCTGATGATGGAGGGGGAATCTGTTGTGAGTGTGTGGAAACGTGAGGTCCTGAGATCTCTTGCGTTCACACTTGTCAGTCCAAATCTGATTGGGATTTGATCAAAAGTAGTCTAATACTAAATTCCTGGAGAATCGCAGCTCTGCATAGTTTAGCTTCAACCACCTCCAACTCACGCCTGCTTAATATCCTCTAGTAGTCTTGATCAGCTGTGTTTGATTAGAGTTGGAGCAACATTAAGCAGAGATGCGGCTCTCCAGGAATCCAGTTTGAGAGCTATGATCTAAATGGTTGACTGTCCACACTGTTGGGATCTGATTTGTGTGTGAAATGAAAAAATTAGAAGAAATCCGAGAGCTTCCTCATCAAAAAAAAAAAAAACTAAAAGTGACTTTGCTAATGTTTTCTTTCTTGTGAGAGTGTTAAGTTTGTATCATGTACAATCATGGCCGTTTCTTGACTGTCCAGCAACCACCCGTTTTTATGAATGGAATAGATTGTAGGTGGGATGTCCAGATCTCAGCTTCTGATTTTGACATTTTGACAACTTGACGTGGCCCAGGGGGGCTTGCATATCCACCTCAATAGGTTTTTTGCCACTTTTTGAGGTTTTCCAGCTCACAGACGGATAAAAAAAACATCCCACCTGTAACTTATTTGATCAGGGCTAGGTAGACTGTCTGTGGACACCCCTGTAAAAGGTCACCATTCACAGCAGAAACGATTTTGGAGTTCATTAGGAGGAGCAGAGGGGTCAGGAGGCCCCACTCAGCAGTTTTTTTCCATGTCAGAGCTCACCAAAAGACTTCTGTGGCCTAAAAAAGCACTGTCCACGAGCAGCCTATCTGGGCCCACTCAAATAAGTTACACGTAGGATGTTTTACATGATCCACCCACCCTAATGGTCAAACCTCAACAGATCTTCAAACAAACCATCGGAGGTGGATCCCCACATCCCCCTGAGTTGCCCCCTAGTGTTAAAACCTTAATATTCCACTTTCCAGCAACCACCTATTTTTATGAATGGAATAGATTGTAGGTGGGATGTCCAGATCTCAGCTTCTACAAGGGCTAGCAAGCTGAAACCTGTGTTCCTGTTCTAGTCTGGGCATGCCCTGTCTATGCTGTGAATTTGAAGAAGATTGGAGAAAGTCGAAAATTTGACCAAAAAAATCTATAAGGGGGGTACCCCTTAGGGTTTTTTTGGGTCAAATTTTCAAGTTTTTCCAATCTTCTTCAAATTCACACCTTAGATAGGGCGTGTCCAGACTAGCACAGAAACGCAGGTTTGAGCTCTCTACTGTGTCCAGAAGCTGAGATCTGGACATCCCATGTACACTCTATCCCATTATAAAATAGGCTGTTCGTAAACAGTGGAATTTCAACATTTCGAAACCTTTAAGTGGGCTTCCATATCCACCTCAATAGGTTTTTTGGAACTTTTTAGAGGTTTTGGGGCTCTAGCACATGGATCAAGAAAAAACATCCCACCTATAACTTATTTAAACAGGCCTAGGTAGGCTGTCCGTGGACATCCCTGTAAAAGGTCACCATTCACAGCAGGAACAGTTTTGGGGTTCATTATTGGGAGTGGAGGGGTCAGGAGGCCCCACCCAGCAGTTTTTTTCCACGTCAGAGCTCACCAAAAGGCTTCTGTGGCCTAAAAAAGCACTGTCCACGAACAGCCTATTTGGGCCCACTCAAATAAGTTACACGTTGGACCTTCTTGTTTGAGCAGTCAAAGGGACCTTTATTTTGGTGCAAAACGGTGGGAGCTTTGACTACAGTTTCGTCAAGGCCCCCTGCAACTCCTATTCAACTTTCATACCAATCGGTGCAGGGCAAGCACTTGAAAAAAATCAGAAAGAAATATTCAGAGAAAATTATTAAATCCGCCCCTCCCCCTGCCAGCTAATTAAACACTTGCAAAGGACCTGTGGGCCCCAAACTTTGTGGTTTCTGGTCGGGGTGGGGGTTCAGGAGTGACCCACGAAGAGCTTTGGCACCACTAGAGCCTAGAGCCGATTTGGCCGCCTTACCTGCATTTTAGTAAAAGTGACAAGTAGTCATTGAATTAAGTGGTTTGTGGCATCCAAATATTGAATACGATCCCTCGCACCAATTATGCGTCATCTGGCAACTTATTTCCATTCAAACATTTCCATGAACAGCCAAGTTTTCCTTATCTAATGCAGAACACATTGGCAAACAAAGTCATCTGTGTAGATTCTGCCATACACAATTGTTCTTGGGACTTCTTATGATTACAGTTGTACCTCTGAAGTTACATTAAACATGTTTTTGGTTCCTTTTCAGGACTTTAAAGTCAAGTCCACTATTCCAAGTCTGCAAAGTTTAGCATGTGACTCCAAACTTCCGACTTCATCATGAACAGCATTAATTACCAAAGAAATCCACAATTCTCAATCGTGACAAGATATTTAAGTCTAACAAAAATGATTTTGAATGGACTTGTGCGTGAAATGACTCTTGACTCTGTCAAGATAAATGCCAGATCACAGTATACTTCAAGACCTAAAAGGTCAAAACATCTCTGGACCATTGCTGTCTATGGAGGATGAGAGAGCTCTCGGATTTCATCTAAAATGACTTAAGAAGTGTTCTGAAGAAAAACGAGTCTCAGGGGATTAGAACGACATGAGGGTAGTTAAACATAGACTTTTCATTTATTGTGTGAACTAGCCCTACAAAGAAATACGTAAACCAGACCGAATAGCATTATATTGTAATTTTCAGTCAGTTTCTACAAACTTTTATATAAACAGTGATGTTTTTACATTATACATAGCCTCATGGGCAAAAAAAATTATACATAATCTAAAAACAGAGCATTCAGACTAAAAATGTGATTTGAGTAGGATTTTAAAGCCAATATTGAAACTTTTTTGCTGTTCATACTCAATTCCATTCATATTTGGACTGACATTGTGAACAAGGTTTTGACTTCCACGACAAACAGAATCAAACAGCTCTGTCCTGCTGGAGAGAGTCTGTAATCCAGGTCAGTGGTCTAACTGAGTTGTGTTAACTTGTTTGGCCGTGTACACACGCTCACACTCTGATGCGCAACAAGAGCTGATTGTTTTCCTGACAATATGGGGAAACCCAGAGAGCATGAGAAAAGAGCTCGTATGATGAAGATGTAACATCAACATGAGTCATGTCCCATAATTCAATCTCACTTGCTACAGCATCTCTGGCTCATTCTCTTCCGGTGTCTGTTTTTCTGCTCACTGTGACTAAATGAGATTTATGTCATGAGATTAAGGCCAACTGAGTAGATTAGAACAGATTTTTTGGAACATGATTTGGAATGGAATTCTAGAATGGAATTCTATTTTGTTCTTAACCCTTTATAGGGCGCTTTGATGCTCATAGAAGTGTTATTATGAGACTTTTGACCTTATGAGACTTCATTTTTATTATTATACTTTATTAAGCCAACACAGTCGTTTATTGGTGAGCACTTTCGCCTCACAGCAAGAAGGTCACTGGTTCGAGCCCCGGCTGGGCCAGCTGGCATTTCTGTGCAGAGTTTGCATGTTCTCCCTGTGTTCGCGTGGGTTTCTTCCGGTTTCCCCCACAGTCCAAAGACATGCACTATAGGTAAATTGAATCAACTGAATTGGTGGTAGTGTATGTGTGTGCATGTGAGAGTGTGTGGGTTTTTCCGAGTACTGGGTTGCAGTTGGAGGGACATCCGCTGTGTAAAACATGCTGGATAAGTTGGCGGTTCATCCCGTGGTGGCGACCCCTGATAAATAAAGGGACTAAGCAAATTAATTATACTGTAATCAATGTAAGTGAAGTCAGCATATACAGTTCTTCACTCTGTAAAGGGTTAAAGGGGTAGCTCATCCAAAATTGGAAATGCTTCAGCCATTAACTCACCATAATATCGCATGACTGACTGTATTCCATTGAAGACAAAGGGATGAATGTTCATGCTGCCTCTATATGTACAACAAAAGCATTTTAGCAACACTACAGTTGAAGTCAGAATTATTAGCCTCCTTTTGATCCTTTTGTTTTTGTTCTTTTTTAAATATTTCCCAAATGATGTTTAACAGAGCAGGGAAATTATTACAGTATGTCTGATAATATTTTTTCTTCTGGAGAAAGTCTTATTTGTTTTATTTTGGCTAGAATAAAAGCAGTTTTAAATTTTTTAAACACCATTTTAAGGACAAAATTATTAGCCCCTTTAAGCTACATTTTTTTCAAAGAGTCTACAGAACAAACCATCGTTATACAGTGACTTGCCTAATTACTTTAACGTGCCTAGTTAACCTAGTTATGGCTATAAATGTCAAGTTGTATAGAAGTGTCTTGAAAAATATCTATTAAAATATTATTTACTGTCATCAAGGCAAAGATAAAATAAATCAGTTATTAGAAATGAGTTATTAAAACTATTATGTTTAGAAATGGGTTGAAAAAAAATCTTCTCTCCGTTAAACAGAACTTTGGGGAAAAAATAAA